TATACCAAAAATGAAACGACCATACAACGACAAAAAACAGAAAAAACAACAACAAATAAACAACAGTCTGCAAAACACAGAAAACTAAAGACAGATCAGCACAAATAAAGGGAACAGTAGTATACCGCTGTTCGAAACTCATAAATCGATAGAGATAAAAACAAATCCGGGTTACAAACTAAAACTGAGGGAAACGCGTCAAATATAAGAGGAGAACTACGACACAACAAAAACACAACATTAAAATGTAACACACACAGAAACGAACTATAATATAACAACGGCCATTTTCCTGACTTGGTACAGGACATTTTTAGAAAAATATAGTGGATTGAACCTGGTTTTGTGGCATACCAAACCTCCCGCTTTAATGGCAATGTTAAATATAACATTAAAATGACAACATTACATGACATGACTACAATACAAATAAATGGGAGAACATATAGGACAAAGAAACACACGAATAATAGCTAACAAAAGGTACTAGGTTTAGAATTTAATACGCCAGACGTGCGTCTCGTCCACACAAGACTAACCAGTGACGCTCAGATGAAAAATGTTTGAAAGCGAAAACAAGTACAAAGCTGAAGAGCACCGAGGACCAAAACTTCCAAAAAGTTGCACCTAACACGGCCAGGGGTTTCTGCTTGGGACAAGAACATCCTTATTATTTAGAATAATATTTACTTTTGCAACAGTAAATTTTATAAAATGACTATATAATAGATATACATGATAAAACCGAAGTGGGGACTAACTACAGAATAAAAACGGATACAATACATAAAACAACTTAGTCCAACACATAAAAATACACAACCGAGTTAGCTAAAAGCCTCAACGCACAAAGTGACGTCACATTTGAAATTCTAAAAAAACACACAAAGTGACGTCACATTTGAATTTGTAAAAATATTTTCCAAAAATAAGATAGAATTAGGATTGATTCAAGATTAGATCTGTACTACTGACATTACATTTATTAATAACAATGAAAATTACAATACTATTAATATCAAATTGTGGTAGTAATTAGATAATTACAAACCCTACCAAAAACCTAGGGGAACTCAGGTCCCCTGCTGGAGTTATTTATCTTCGATATATGAGTTTGAATATCCCTTTGGTATCTTCTGTCTTTTAAGACCTAACCAGGACTACCAATTCAAAGGGGTCCGTCTAAAAATAGGCAAATTTATAAGACAGAAATGATAAAGCCAAAATACATAACAAAAATAATATCACCGAAAATGGAAACTGGACTATGCTAGTACCAAGTCGATCAGGAATACGAAAGTTGTTTTCCATTCATTTGATGTGTTTGAGCTTTTGATTTTGCCATTTGATAAGGGACGTCTACTTTGCCGCAGAAAGATATTATCGTATTGTTAGTACAATAAGATGAACGACAATTGGACATTACAGAAGGAATGTGATATATAGAATACGCATTTTACACACATCGTCCATCTGCGCTTTGAGATGCATCTTATTACTTACATCAATGAGCTCCAAAACACGGAAATAGTCTGTTGACAATAAAACCATCAACAAAAAATGTAAAAATGTAAAAGTATTGTGTGATAACACATTCGTTTGAATAAAAAAAAGTATCAAAATTTAAAGACTTTGAAAAATACATGTTCCTACATAGTAGGCAAGACTTATAGTTCACCAGCAGCGGTATCGACTTAGTGCTGAAAAAAGGAAAGCAACACTTTATATATATATATATATATATATTGTTCGACCTGTTAGTCAAATGCGTTTTGTTAAAATAGACTTTTTCACTTTTTTTTTTTGGTCTTTTCGAAATTGTTGTTTGTGCTGTATTTAGACCCCTCTACCAAGAAATTTGTTTTGCATGCACACGTATAAAAATTGCGGTTTTTATCCAACGCAATCATAGGTTTGAACGTAGTTTTCAATTTAGACTTTTTATATTTTTTCGTTTGGGCTTGTATTATATTTTCCTTCGGGTTTATATAATCCGTTCATCCTATTTCGACTCTTTAAAATTCAAGAGTCTATCCTAATTTGAGGTAAATCATATGGCCTTCCAAATACCGTTTCGATCCCTAACATCACTGAAGAGACATTTATTGTCGAAATCCGGATATGGTGTACAAATTTTTGCACCTCATGTTTGTGGTATACCATCTTTTCCACAAGTTTATTGTTTTCTGTTTGGTATTTAATTAAAATTAAGATCCATTTTACTAGATCTGGTGATCAATTTATTTGGCAATCGGCAATGGCAGTCAGCAGGGTTTAAGAACATCAGTTGTTCGACCTGTTAGTCAAATGCGTTTTGTTAAAATAGACTTTTTCACTTTTTTTTTGGTCTTTTGGAAATTGTTGTTTGTGCTGTATTTAGACCCCTCTACCAAGAAATTTGTTTTGCATGCACACGTATAAAAATTGCGGTTTTTATCCAACGCAATCATAAGTTTGAACGTTGTTTTCAATTTAGACTTTTTATATTTTTTCGTTTGGGCTTGTATTATATTTTCCTTTGGGTTTATATGATCCGTTCATCCTATTTCGACTCTTTAAAATTCAAGAGTCTATCCTAATTTGAGGTAAATCATATGGCCTTCCAAATACCGTTTCGATCCCTAACATCACTGAATAGACATTTATTGTCGAAATCCGGATATGGTGTACAAATTTTTGCACCTCATGTTTGTGGTATACCATCTTTTCCACAAGTTTATTGTTTTCTGTTTGGTATTTAATTAAAATTAAGATCCATTTTGCTAGATCTGGTGATCAATTTATTTGGCAATCGGCAATGGCAGTCAGCAGGGTTTAAGAGCATCAGTTGTTCGACCTGTTAGTCAAATGCGTTTTGTTAAAATAGACTTTTTCACTTTTTTTTTGGTCTTTTCGAAATTGTTGTTTGTGCTGTATTTAGACCCCTCTATAAAGAAATTTGTTTTGCATGCACACGTATAAAAATTGCGGTTTTTATCCAACGCAATCATAGGTTTGAACGTTGTTTTCAATTTAGACTTTTTATATTTTTTCGTTTGGGCTTGTATTATATTTTCCTTCGGGTTTATATGATCCGTTCATCCTATTTCGACTCTTTAAAATTCAAGAGTCTATCCTAATTTGAGGTAAATCATATGGCCTTCCAAATACTGTTTCGATCCCTAACATCACTGAAGAGACATTTATTGTCGAAATCCGGATATGGTGTACAAATATTTGCACCTCATGTTTGTGGTATACCATCTTTTCCACAAGTTCATTGTTTTCTGTTTGGTATTTAATTAAAATTAAGATCCATTTTGCTAGATCTGGTGATCAATTTATTTGGCAATGGCAGTCAGCAGGGTTTAAGAACATCAGTTGTTCGACCTGTTAGTCAAATGCGTTTTGTTAAAATAGACTTTTTCACTTTTTTTTTTGTCTTTTGGAAATTGTTGTTTGTGCTGTATTTAGACCCCTCTACCAAGAAATTTGTTTTGCATGCACACGTATAAAAATTGCGGTTTTTATCCAACGCAATCATAGGTTTGAACGTTGTTTTCAATTTAGACTTTTTATATATATATATATATATATATATACATATATGTCATGCGCTCGAAGCACTTTTTCTGGATTTTCCTTCATCAGGAACCCTCAAATTCACAGTGAAAGTCAGGGGAATATAAGACCGTGTAGATAAATTCACTTCAAAGTCCTCTATGACACAAACTTATCTTATTAGTATTCTCTTTAAAAGCAAAATTTAAAACAATCAGACTCCATCTTATAATTCTGTTTTTGTGTGGAGAAAAACAGTCTAATGATAAGATACAATCGCCTAAATTTTCTCACATAATAAAATGTTTTTTGCAAATAAATTGCATTCCTGTATCAATACTTGCTTAGTCTATTGAGCAAATTCACCTTTGTTTTGTTCGTATTTAAAAGTGTGACCTATACACAGCGAAACAAACTTTGCTACACGAACGGTTAATAATTTTTAAAGCCAAAAAGGTTGTAGTTCCATGTTAATGTTGTTTCGTTATTTGAAGAATGTAATGTAATTGGCAGATCTTTGATTGTTCATGTTAAATTTATTCATAATTTGTATAGAATCGGTACGATATAGATTAAATACACTAGTAAAGAAAGAGTCGCTGTATTGCATGATTTATAATTGTTGGGACACGAAAAAGGACATTACGTGCATAAATTTGGGTTATTTAAAATTAAATTCGAGAAGTTTAATAATCGAACAAAAAACCTGGAAAACACCAAAACACTTTTGGTTATACAGCTCACCTGTTAAATCTTAGACATACAAGGCTTTCAAGTGTTTGCGTCTAAGCGTTCCTGATGAAGCTAAAGAGCTACAGACGCATTCAGAAGTGTTATTTTCATTAAGTAACACTGGTTAGATGTCACTGCTTGTCGATTATTTGGCCCCCGAGGGTTCCATCAACGCAGTAGTTTGTGCGCCGGCACTGGCATGATTTTTAGCAAACTGTTCATAAATCTGTGGTAATAAATTAAGTAATTATAAAGAGATTAAGGTTTCAACTTCCTCCGGCAAAGTTTACCTTAGATAAATGATGGTACTTGTTAGGATACTTTTTGGCATACAACTCATAATGTGTATATATTCTTATACAGCCTTTGCTCTCGAATCTTTTGAGTTTGTGCGGTCATAAGAAATGCGCTTCAAGTTGACAGAATTGATAATGTGTTATTTTCACTTTATATTCCTGAGAAACAGTTAAGTGTATGTATCTATTAAATCTATGGTTAATAATATATAATTACATAAAATTGTTGTTAGCTCGGAGTGTTATTATTTTTTCAAAACAAAAATAAGTGAAAATTGTTATAATCAGTAATGCAAAATGACCACAGAATTTGATAGCAATCATAAATTACAGCTGTCATACAAATCAATAAAGAATACATGTATTTGCGTTCTCAACGTTGGCTGTCTCCAAGCAAACACTGTTATGATAGACAATGGCAGTGATAGGGAGTTTTAAAGTTGTTCAAACATTTATTTATAAATGTGTTTACGACTAACGAAGTTGACATCTGTTCGAGGAGCTGACCTGAAAACAGAAAGAAAATATTGTAAAAGCACAATTTTAGATAAGATAGTATTAAAAGAATAAGCAGATGGTATGACTGCCAATAAGACAACTCTCCACATGAGACCAGATGACACAGAAATTAACAACTATATGTCATAGTACGGCTTTCAACAATGAGCATAACCCATACCGCATAGCCAGCTTTATTAAGCCCCGAAATGACAAATGTAAAACAATTCAAACCAGAAAACTAACGGCCAAATTTATGTAAAAATAATGAACGAAAAACAATTATGATACAAAGCAACAAACGACAACCACTGATTTACAGGCTCGTGACTGAGGTAATGTTACGAACTACACATTTATATTAAAAAAAAATTGAAAATGAATTGAACGGATACATTTATTTTACTAGGCGACTTTTTCATTCTGTCGCTTAAGTTTAACTGAAGTCCGTTCGTGTAACCAACTGCCAAAAGATAAGTAAAAAAAAAATTCCAAAAAATACTAAATCCGTCCTCAGTGTTTTTTGTGTGTGTATTATATACTATATAGATAGTGAACAACACTAGACTAATTGCATTGGGCAGTACAACCAGTCCGGCAGTTCTAAATTTATAAATATTCATTCACGTCCGATAGAAATTGAAACGTCAAATCAAATGCCCAGTGATCCGAGAGTACCACACGATCTGTAAGTTAAAATAATCCTTGCAACATGTTGAAGGGTTCCGTTGGTTGTCTGTTCGAAGCAAAAACATCAATTGAAATAGCTTAACTCAATCAAAAGACATATTAACAAAAACAAGTGACCATACACTGAACAAATAAATTTGATCTATGACACAATGTAAATACAAAGATAATAAAAAAAAGGGGTTAGATGTAAAATAATAACAGAAAGAGAACCATAACCTTGGACAAAATCCCGCCAAAAAAAAAATAACGTACACAGGTAGATAAAAATAATTTTGTTTTAAGGTATACATGGAGTACGGAAATATTTTTTACAAAATAAATAATTTTGTTGTTCATAGTACGAGAACAGAAGTGAAACTTTATCGTCACACCAAACACTTATCAGAGGTGGTATATATTAGAAATAGTGAGACGATATAAAACACTGAATAAGTAAACATTAAATAACAAAAATGCATTACAAACTGTATCAATAGATCAAATTAACACGAAAGTACGATTTGAGAGTACTTGCAGTTACTGAAAGCTAGTTAAAAGCCAAACACAATTAATAATGAAAAATCATGCATCAGAGACTAAATCAACTAAAATATATCTCAGGGATTTAGTGTTCTAACGTGATTGACAGTCAAAGAAGACATGACTTGTGCAATGCCAAAATAAAAGTATCGACAGGCAGTAGGATAGTTAGGAGTTAACCTTTTAATAAATATGTGTAATGTTATATATAGATAGAGTAATCTCTATATAGAAAATAAACGTAAATGTGTATTTATACATTCCAACAAAAAAACGTTTGAAAGAATACAAATTTAGTTATGTTTGAATTTGCTGATGACAAAATCGATATTTGTGCCAATGTAAACTATATTCAAAGATCTAATTACAACATTGGTAAGATAACCTTTACTAATAAGTTTGTTCAATGGTTCGATGAGTTTACACGGATCACATAGTGATTTCCGCTCTTTTAGTACAATATAACCGTAAAATTTAGGATGTGAAATATCGTTTTTAATAAGTTTTCTACAGGTACAGCCAAATTTACTAATCAAATCTTTGTATCTATGAAAGAATTTAGTAAACGTTTTAAGTAGTTTATGGTAACCAAATCCCTGACTTAATAATTTACCAGTGATGCATTTATTACGTTCGTTAAAATCTATGACATCACTACACACACGGGCAAAACGAACGTATGAATGACATATTCTTCTTTTGATGAAAAACAGTGTTTTTTTTCTGTTTTAACAATTTGACAGCTTTTGTTTTTGTTTACCTCTTTTGTGTTGTTTTGATCCGTTGTATGTTATACCATGGATTATTTTGTTGTTGTTGTTTTTGTTGGTTGTGGTGGTGATGGTAGTTGTGATGGTGGTGGTGTTATTATTATTATAACTTTGTTGTTGCTAATATTGTCATTATTTTTATAACTTCTTTAGTTTTTTCGTTATTATCAATAAAAGAAAATTAATTCATAATATTTAAAATTATAAAGAGATTTAAACATACATTTTTTTAACACACAATTAGCCGTTGAAATAACAGTTTGGGTGGCTATTGCATTCCATTTTGCCAGATTGTTTGCAGCAACATCGTGTTTGTCCAATACAACCACAGAAATTCTCGAAATAAATTGTTCCGCTGGGCCCTGTACAAACTGCAGCTCTCTTATCCGGAAATGGCGTCGCTAATGTCGCAGTCACCAATAACAAAATGATCAATATTGTTTTTACCATTGTTTTTTCCGTCTAAAATAGATAGTAAGCAATCAGTTTTATTTGTTTCTGATACACATAAATACAGAGATTGCAAGATTTTTCATAGTTCTTCAACGAAAAAAGGTGTTAATGTTGAATGTAAGAAAAATCTAAAGAGAATCGTTTCCCGCCAAATTTTCAATAGATAATACCTCAAAAACAAGGACATGATTCTTTCATTACTTCTACTTTTTTAGTTTAGTTATTTATATACTTTCAATTTATATAAATTTATATCAATTATGTCTGTTTGTTTTGTTCACACATCGTTGTCAATAAAGTGGAATTGTATGCGACTGTCATACAAATGAGAGGTTTAGTTAGCTTTAAAACCAGGTTTAATCCACCATTTTCTACATAAGAACATGCCTGTACCAAGTCAGGAATATGACAGTTGTTATCCATTCGTTTGATGTGTTTGAGCTTTTGATTTTGCCATTCGAATAGGAACTTACCGTTTAGAATTTTCCTCGGAGTTCGGTACTTAATGTTGACGATTGTTTTTTGTTTGGCACCTTGACTAAAATTAATTTGCCTCGTTTAATTTCATAATATTTTTACAAGATATTTACTTTTACCTTTTGACAAAAATATAAACAATTAAAAAAACTTGAACTACACTTTATCGGAAAAATTTCATTGGATATATAGCAGTTTGACAATCACTCATTTTGATCATTGAGAAGCTAAATATTTCCTCAACAATAGAACGTGATTTAAACGTTCGGCTGATTTTTATAGAGTTATCTCCCTGTAGTGTTATGTACCCCCTTAAAGTGAGTGATTACCAGCATGTATCTTCTTTTTAATATATACACATTATACAGAGTTTGTATTGCGAGTTAGTATATGCAACGACCACTGATTTGACAATTGTAACTATCTAAAACTCATAGTTGGCAGCTTGGATTTCTTTCTGATACAATTTACCTTATAATCATGGTGTATTAGCCAATTAGCGATTTGATAATGTTATAACACACTTTTAACTTGTTTCCCTTTGCCAGTTGTTGACTGGTTCTATACCGAAAATATGGGTTGCTGTCCATGCAAAGCAAGATACATGAGAGTTATATATAGGCGTTGTATCCAATTGTAAATGAAATATGTAACTTTTGATATCAAAAGTTTTGCGCTTAAGATATTAAAATAATTTAAAAACTTTACACAGTTTAGTCTTCAACTTATACATCCTTGGCTAACAACTATTCCATGTATTCGGCTTTGAGCGTTCATGATGAAAAGAAGGTATATTTAGAAAAGCGCTTCGTACTGTTTTGTTATATATATATATATACAAGTCTAAAATGAAAACAACGTTCAAACCTATGATTGCGTTGGATAAAAACCGCAATTTTTATACGTGTGCATGAAAAACAAATTTCTTGGTATATATATAGTAAATGACTGAATAATAGCCAACGATAAATCTTACGGGGCGATTGATCATATAATTATGATACATTACACTACAAAATATAATATATAACAAATCTAAAAGGGTACAACATCACCAAAAAATAACAATAAAATGAACGAATGTTAAGTTTTTCGGAGCTGGGGCGTGCCCAGGTGATCTCAAATGACGACTTACTGGGAGGTCGGGCTTGCAGGTGTAGTCACTTCGATGACCATTTATGCGTTTGTTGAATGGTTGTTCTGTCTCGCCAAAATACTGAATGCCATTGACAATGAAGAAGGTGTACAAAATTCTGGGTTTTGCAAGTTACAAGCGTCTCTATGATGTTCGGGTTCAACTGTTTTATTGTATAATTTTCAAGATTGTTATAGTTTTATAATCAGAATAGATTCATTTTACATCATATTCATACTGACGAAGGATATCTGTTATCCGGAATATTTAACATTTGTTCATTTTATTGTTATTTTTTGGTGATGTTGTACCCTTTTAGACTTGTTATATGTTATCTTATTTTTTTTTTTTTGTCTTTGGTTTTGTTTTGTTTTGTTTCTCTTTATGGGGAGGGGGATACGGAAATGGATGTAAACATGTTTTTGACAAAAAGATATATTTGATGATTCCAAAATCATATCTTTTGCCGATTTGGCAACAAGTTTAATTCACTTTGTAAAAGAATATATTACAATACATATTATTAAATTATTATATATATGGGGAAATATTCGAACATATTTATTCGTGTTATATCGACCGAATGAGTTAGAAGTAATACAATCCTATGCATGTACTCACTGTTCTTTCGCGTTGATATTGTTAAATTTAGTTTCCGTGTCACATCCACAACAACGTTTTAACTAATAAATTCTAGCTTCGAAAAGGAATAAATTGTACGCAACAGTTGACCAAATTACACTAAATATTATTTATATATGTACAATAAAAGCCTAAGGGTTATTTCGCTGTTATTTAAATAGAAATAATTAAAATCCTGCATATGATTCCGACGGTTTCAGACAATTGCTCTATGTTCCATATGGTGAATGTTGATATGATCTAGAATTAAATCGAACAAGCACAATAAAAACCTTCCAAATGCACAATAAAATGAACTGCGTCGGATAGAAATCTACCTTATGCAAATAAATACCAATACATCTGTTAAACTTTTTCGGGTTAGAAAAATTTCTATCCAAAGTCCGTAACTGTTTGATAATTGAGTTGAGATATGAACGCTACAAAACCGTCACGCATTATAATCTTGTATCTAGTATTTGAATGTTCCAAAATCAATCAAAGTCTTATACATGTACATACGTGCACTTGCATAAGGCCGATTTCTATCCGACACAGGTAAAATGTTAGTAGAATGTCCGTCTTAGGCAATTCAAATTATATTTTTAACCTTGCATTTTTTTTAAATTTAAATTATCAGGACTTTTAAACACAAAACACGTGTTTTGATACACGTGTATATGTGGATTGATTACCTTATATTTACCCCATTATCATTACAGAAACAAATAAAACATGCCTTTACAGTAACCGTTAATTGATCCATAACTTATTTTAAAAAGAAGGGGGAAATATTCAGTAGAGAAAATTATAAGTCGAAAAAACAACATCAATCGTATGACTAAGATAAATAACGATGGCGAAATACAGACCATAAAAAAACAAGGGATACATTTATGTATACCGTAAGGGTACATTGGCGTATCCAGGGGATTCAGGAGTTAAAACCCCCCTTTTCGATTTTTTTTTAATCATGCGAACGTTTCATGGTTTTCCGGGGGTTGGAACCGCCCCTCCCCTATTAAAATAGATGGATCCGTGCCTGAGGGTAAGCAATCCTTATTCGCACCAGTTGATACTTCATTTGTGACGATCACAGTGCTGGGATACAATAGTGTGCAACGTGCGTGTTTTGTTCTATAAATTTCAAATGTTGCCTTCCACCCCGATAGTTTTATTCCCACGTAAAATAGTTCATCTTCCAATAACCGACTTTGTCCCCAATCTAAAAATGTTTTCATTAAAATTACTTATGGCACAGCAAACTGTATAACTGTATACATTTATACAATCATTATAAAAAGAAGAGTTTGGGTGAACGTAACTTTTATGAATTTGCATTTTATTATCACCTATTTTACAATCGTCAAGTATTTAATTTGTCCTTCTCAGGAGTAATTTCCAATATCACACAACATTATAACCTATTTTACAATTGTCAAGTAGTTAAAGTGTCCTACTTAGGAGTATTTCCAGTATCACACAATTCTAAAATTGGAACCAAATTTGGTAATTGAATGGTTATCACGAAATCATTTCACCGATGTTAACAACTTCAAGATTATCACAATAATAATGCTGACACAGGAATTTGTGAATCGCTTCCATTTTATGTTGTCACATTCTTATTCAAGCAAGCCACCTATAAGGGTCTGTATGAGGGTCTGTATAAGGGTCTGTATGAGGGTCTGTATAAGGGTCTGTATGAGGGTCTGTATAAGGGTCTGTATGAGGGTCTGTATAAGGGTCTGTATGAGGGTCCTTCATTTCTTCATTATTTTAGTCTGTATACCATTTTTCTCTATTCTTTATTTTTCATCCATTTATTCTGCACTTTTTACTCATTATTCTCTTTTCTGTATACGTAATAGTCCAAACAAACGAATAAACATTGACAGTTTTGGTAAGACTTCAGGGTTTCAGTGCTACGGATGTTAGAATATTATTGGTCGGGTAGATATTATTTTGTAGACATTCATAGAGTGTTGTCGGCTTATTGACGTAAACCACTCATTTATTATAATTCACTAGAACATATCCGCGAACAGTACCTACGCCTTATTTTAGCCTGGACGTTTAGTATTCGTATTGTCATGTAATAACGTCAAGCTGATTATAAAGTGCACAGTTTTCTCTGCTTTCAAAATCTTTCTGTTTGAACCCGTCCTAGATTTCTTACTAAAATATAGTAGTGGTACTCCAGAGAGTAAAGGAAATAATAAGAAGAACTACAACCGGAAACTACATGTAACAAATACATTGTACTCTTGGTATGAAATTCGACCCGGAACTTGTTTATTATTCGTAATATTAATTATGTGGAAAACAAATGGGCCTGTAATGGTGTAATTTTTAAACAACACAATTGTCCTTAATAAGTTATATATAAAGTTGAATTATTTGATTCGTCGTTTTTACGTCATCCCGGCTAACAAATTGGACCTCTTTATGTTAGTAGTATAGATATAAAATGATAATAGTTAAATAGAACATACAAAAGTTAGCAGGAATTACAAAAATCATTTTGTTTACCAAAGAGTCTCTATTCTTAATATTTTTGTCCCATTATTCTGCACTTTTTTGCTCATCATTCCCTTTACTGGAAACCTCATTCAGCAGACTATCATAGTACTCTCAATACACCATTTTCATATTACCGACTTTTGACTCCGGAATTTTAATTTTTTTGACAGGTTACTTTCTCTGTGGTAGGACATCCTGGTACTCGGTCAGACAAGAGCAACTTAAATAGGTAAATTCAACCTTTTAATCGGTACTATTCTGAGGGAAAGTTAACTGTTTAATGCTTTCTTCTTTACATGACTAAATCATCGGAAAACAGTAAACGGTGTTGAAGGCCGTACTTTGACCTATAATGGTTTACTTTTACATATTGTGACTTGGATAGAGAGTTGTCTCATTGGCACTCATACCACATCTTCTTATATCTACTTAAAACTATTTCAGATACACATGTTTGTCTGTACATTTTAAGGTGTACATGTAAGCACAACCATTTAACCATACAGTCCACATGAACCTTACTGGTTGTTAATTAACCCAGTTTTAACCACGCGTGATTCATTTATGAATTGGATGCTTCTCTTTGTAATTTATTGGGTAGTGAAAGCGTTGATCGAAGTACATTTTGTGATTCTTTTAAGAAATGAATGCTTCTCTTTGTATATTTATTGGGGTGTGAAAGCGTTGACCGAAGTACATTTTGTATCAAGCACGGAAGCGCTTTATTCTAAAAATGAAGGTATAATTCAGAATGATGCGAGACTGCTGTTATCCAATCAAAATAACGTATTATAGTGAAACATACATGTAATGTAAGTATTTCAACATGTCGATGGTTGTGTAAAAATTGACAACTATGTGTACATGTAATTATAAAAATGAGAAGATGTGGTACATGTATAACTACCAACGAGACAATTATCTGTTAGATTTATTAAAGATATGGGAAAAAGAACTTCTGTAAATTTTAATGTACTAAATAGCATTGGTTTCTTGAATGTAGAAAATAGAGTCAAACAATTAAGACTCAACCATGTACATAAAATATTTTATAATAAGAGCCCTTACTACATGCAAGGCAATTTTACTAAGATCAAAGACTGTCATGATTATTCAACAAGATCTAGTGAATACAATTTTTTATACCACCTATAAAAGGGCAACAGACTTTAACATTTTATTATAATGCTATACACATGATAAAGGATTGATACTTGTTGCCGAATGAACTAAAGAGCAACAAAAACCTTGAATCTTATAAATCTGGTGTTAAAGATTATCTGTCAAAAAAGGAAAGCAACGATTTTAATAGCAATTTTTTATTTTATTGATTGGCTTTTATTTTCGAGTCATTGTCATCGAAAATTTTTAATTTTAGCATAGTTAGTATAAAGCCTGCCAAAGTCATGATTTCTTATAACTGTATTTAATATTTTTAAGAATGTAACATAAAGGGACCCCATTGGAAATCAGCCGTATGGCTTTCATGGGCAATCCTGATTAGGTATTCAGTGTTCTAGCTTGGTCTTTTTCACAGGGCGGTCCGCCCGCCCTTTCCCGATTGCCGCCTTGTGCCCTTTTTCTGACGGCCTGTGCCTTTTTTTATGACGTCCTGCCCTTTTTCACATGTCCATGCCTTTATTGTTGTAATATTTTGATGAAAATACTATCTTTCTATCTGTCTTCATACATTTGTATTTATGACAAGTTTATGACCGTCAGCTAATTAACATTTACAGCAGGTGTAATAAGTTGTGATTACAGATAATCCGCTAATCGCCATCGGATGGGTCATTAATCCGTTAATTAAACCTCATAATTGACCATTGTAAATATTTTTCCCATTAAATATTGTCAGCATTCCAATTTCGATATTTCTCAAAAGACCACAATTTGCAGTTCGTTTATTATAGACATTTTTGTAGTTTCGTCCAGACAGTGTTAATTTAATTTCAAATTTCTCAAACGTTTTCTTATTCTAGCTAGGTTGACGTAGTTTCGTCATTTGAACGTATTTTCGTCACATTTTATAAAACTTTCCATTGAAATCTTTTGCAAATATAACATTCACTAATATTTGGTACCTATATTTATATATAAATATCTACAAAGAATGACCTTTACTTATATACAATATTTTAATTTTAAAATGCATAGATTCAGGGACTTTATATTTATGTAAATATAAAGTCCCTGATTGATTTAAATACCACAATAGGCCATTTATATAAGATTTCCAATAAGATATGTAGAACATACCCCAAATCAATATAAAGTTATGAAAGAACAATATATATCAATATAGAATGTCTTTAAAAAGTAGTGTCATATATATAACATCTCGCAATATTATGACACATATTTTTGGCATATCCACATATACCCATTAATAGGAAGTTACGACCCCCTAAATGGGATATTAGGCTACGTGAAGCTATACAAGACTTTAGATACACGTCTATTTTTCTTGAACATTTTACAAAAAATTCTGCCGCGAAAATAATTATAAGAAGATTAAGTATACGAAGAAACACAATAAACTATGGACTAGAAGTAAAATATCAGTCATTTCC